CAGAACACTGCTGAACGGGGGTAGAGAGAATGCAATACAACTCTCAACTCTCACCAGGGAAGTTTCCTCACGCAACAGTGGATGATGCGCACAGAAGGCCACAACTCGCCAAACTGTAGTGAATGAGACACTGCAGAGTACAAGGCCCTGGAGAGGACTCATATATTACACCTCACTCACCCATGACTCAGGGAATATTGCAGAAGGGGTGGAAAGATTGTAAGAGACAGTGTTGGTTCATGATCATAAGGAAACAGAGTCTTTTAGGTCTAAGGGAGATAGGCTGACTAGACTCCAGTAAATGAACTTGCACTGAGGGACATCAGGGTATTCAAACTTGACTCAATAGCCCTTAACATTTATAACAGAATGCATGAAATACAGTGAGCGATCCTATGGGGGTGGGAATGGGGGAAGGGGTCTAAATGTGAGTGAGAGGCATTGTATGAAATCCAAAAATATTCAATTAAAAATATACAATGAAAAATAAAATGAAGTATAAGGGGTTTGTCACAGAATAATTCATGAACCTGTGAAATCTGTCGCCAATCAATAATTATCAAAAGTTAGAAATGAAATATAAAGTGCAGTAGTACACAAGCATGTTCTCAAGGGTTTGATCTTTACCAACAGCAAGTATTCTTTAGTGAGAAAAACTACCACAGAAGACACTGGTTCAAAAGAAAAGATGAAGCAGACTCATGTCTGATTATGACCTGGAACAATGTGATATACATTATAATGACACACATGAGGATGTTATTGAAAGATGTGTGAAATTTGGAAAGACAGGATGGACTACATGCTACTTCAAGAAAGAAAACTTTGAGAATGAAGACAGGACATAAAATTAGTGCAGAATTGTTGACATTCATGTACACATTCGTCTGGAATGATATGCATCTCAGTTTCAGATCATTTGTTTCAAGGGTGAACTGTGACAAAATAATCACGTTTTCATGTCTGTTCGTTGAGACAGCTCATTTACAAGGTACAACTTGGCCAAGCTCAAACTGGTAGAGAAGACTAAGGAGAAATGTCCTGTGCATCTGGGTTGAGCATAATGGAGACAGGAGGGAAGAAACTCATTTGGAGATGTTGGAGATGCTTGTGTTTGTCTCCTTTGTGACAAATTTTAATGTATTAGGTTTTTGTGCATTTCACAAAACAAATCTTAACAGTATTTAGACCCACTCCTTCATCAGAACACCCATAGTTCACCCACCTGTGGATCGGAGAATGTTGCTGAAAAGGGAACTGAAAGATTGTAAGAGCCAGAGTTGGTACATGAACATAAGGAAACAGAGGTTCTGGGAATTTGCTTATACGAACTTGCAGCAAATGTGACAGAACGCACAAGACCCACAGTGATTCAGTGAGACAAAAATCCAGAATAGAAGTAAAGCAATTTGCAGCAGGCCTCAACTTTAGCCAAGGAACTATTGGCAACTGATTAATGCTAGGTGAGAGAGAGAGTTGAACCTATTAAGAGTGACTCTAGGTAGTCTGACTAGGTTCCAGTGAATGAACTGGATAGAGCGAAATCTGGGTAAAAATGCTTGACTGGTTTAATGAAATTTTGATGTCTTTGAAGCTTTATGCCACTGGAAAATTGGAAAATGGATAAAATATAGTAATGTCTATAAAATAAAACATATTTGGTGTTCAGTCATCTGAAAGTGAAGATAGGAACAGGAGAATAAATTCATTTTGATATTGTACCCACTAGGAGATGAGAGAGCTGAGGTGCCATGGAAGGTGAATGCCTTCAAGAGGTACTGAAACTTACTGAAACAACAGAGTACCTCCCCAAGAGGAATAGCTGTGTTATCTGCTTATTGTTTTCAAGAAAATAGCTCACACACAAATAAATAAAATAAAATAAAATTTCTCACACTTGCATAAATTTTAAGCCAGTAATTCTTCTGGTGAGCCTTCACAGGAAGAACGACTTTGACTAATACCTCTAATACCTAAATTACACCCTTGAGAGATACTCAGAAGAGTAGCACAAGGCTAAGCTTAACAAGATACTTGATGCACCAGAACAGTGATAATGTGTGTTGCTTTAAATCATTAAATTTGTAATTATTTGTTACACAGCAATGGAAATTTAACACTCTTCAGATCAGTTGCCAGTTATTAAATCATATTGCTTGATTTTTGCTATTGAGCTTCTTTAGTTCCATGTATATTCTTTTATAACGGCTTTTATGTGTGTGTTTTGTCTGTATGCATATGTGTGGACCACTGTACCAGTCATTTCCATTGTCATGAAGAAATATTTAGTTCAAAAAATGTTTCAGTTTAATTTTACTTTTATTACCTATGCTTTTAGGGTCCTGTTCCAACATCGAATCAAAAAATAAATTAAAAACTATCCACACCAAAAAATAAATAAAAAGAGTAACGACAGGAGATTAATTGGGTAATGGAGAAAATAAAGACATTCATTAGGTGAAGGACACCTTCTATTTTATATTCTTCTGCATGATGGATCCTGAATTTGAGAGTTGTCACGCCCGGCCAAATTTTCCTGTAAGAAACCTGCACATGCACTCTAGGATCCCAGGGCCCACTGTCCAATATACCACCACAATCTTCCTCTCAAGTTACAGTTTAGAAAATAAGAATATTTATTTGAGTCTGCCAACAAGGTTTATGCTATTCAGGAGAGGGTCACTTACAAAGACATGAACTCTTGTGGGCTCTTTCTTTCCCAAATTTGAGATTCACGCCTTCCATGGGCCCATTGTCTGCCTGCTACCCATCCCCTTCGTCCCAGTGTGCTCAGCATCCGTCTCTAGGGGGTTCAGTTCTAGTTTCCTTGGAGGACACACCTACCCAACAAGAAAGGCACTTATCATTGGTGAGAAACACTTTTGCAGTTTTTCCCTTTATTATTGATTTTTTTGAGTTTCATACAATATATTTTTATAATATTTAGAGCCTCTCCCTTATCTGCAACCCTGCTTACAACCCCTCACTCAAACTCATATATATATATATGTGTGTGTGTGTGTGTGTGTGTGTGTGTGTGTGTGTATTTCTCCAGGCCTATTGAATCAAATTTGTGTCTTGAAATGTCATTCCACATGGGTCCATCCACTGAAGCCTGGTTAAACTACCAAGAGTCGCACCTTAAAAGAGATTGACTCTCCTTCCCAGCAGCCACTGATTTCCAATAGTTCTTCAGATAGGGTTGGGGTGTCCTGTGCAGGTTCCCATGTCTATGCATGGATTTTGTCTGACTTGAGCTTATATTGTACAGGTCTACGCTGTCATTATTGCTGGGAGTTTGTATGAGAAACTTCCCAGCTGTGTGGAAAACTAAGTTTCCTTGTGGCCATCCACCACCTATGGCTACAATCTTTCCACCACCTCTTTCCCTGAGCCTTGGGAGGCAGACATTTGATATAAGTGTCCAATTCAGGGCTAATCATTCTGCAGTCTCATTTTCTGTAGGTCAACCAGTGTCTATTTTTGTGTTACTATCTGCTACATAAGGAACTTCCTCTGGGAAGAAGCGAGAAATTCACTGATCCATGGGTATAACAAATTATTATTAATTGCTTTAATTCTACATCTACTTAGTAGAATAATAGCATAAGGCTCTCCCATAAGGCCTATATTCTGTCCAGCTTCATGCTCCTAAGCCTGATATCAATGACAGATGTTGGGCTCCATCTTATGAAGTGGTACTTAAATCCAATTAGTAAACGATTGGTTGCTCCCATAATACTCATGAATCTATTGCACCAGAGGTCATTTCTTGGCAGTCCAGTTGTTGATGAAATACACAGAATTCAAAATAGTGTAAGACAGGTGACTAATTTTCTTCTTTGTGTGGCATGGATGCACCATCCAGCTCTATGAAATCTCACAAATACAGATGTAGCTTGAAGTCAGTGTCACCTTGATTTCTTATTGTTTTGATTTGTTTTTTGTTTTCTTTTATCTACATCTCATGTATTTAGAGTCTTCAGAAGCGAGATCTTTCCTTCAACTTCAGGTAGGTAACCAAGAGCAAGAGCAATAGTCATTCTTTTTAAGTGTCTATGGGACTCCTCATCAACATCTTCAAAAGAGGGAGTCTATCACTGGGATTGGACTTTATTTTGCTCTCCTATAGAGTCTAGTATGGGCAATCCTCCCCCTTTTCCATTACAAGGTAATTCCTAGAGAGGAATAACTAGCACTAAAGGCATTTAGAAAAACTCATATGAAAACCTACCACTATAGAAGCTTCTTGAAGTATATACATATACATTATTAAATATTTAAAGGAGTTGCAATTTTTCCAATTTAACTCTTCTCTGTACTAACAAATTATACAAATAATTCAATGGTAACAATATTACTTCTGAGTCTGAAATTCTAAAAGATAGGCTTTCAAAACAGCACAGTGGGGAACAATGAAGAAATAATAACAGTTGTTCAAAGGATGTCACATAGATAGCCAACAGAAATGCATAATACACTCAGTTTTGGTGATTATTTTCATTCTCATTCAAAATATTGTTATCTCATTATCAGTAGAACTATGATATGAGCTGTCTTATGCTTAAATATACTCAAATCCATATTTAGAGTTTTATAAAATCAGTTACATGATTTTTTGTTTGCCAATAAAATTTATCAAGAAAGCTAACATGACATATTGAAACTACCAAACGTAATTGAATAAATTCAGTTATCTTCTAAATTAACCTCAGTGAATCTTACCTAAAAAGAGATGGGTTTACATACATAAATATAATCAACTACACAAAGACTCTGAGGAATTTTCAGTATGAGATCAAGGGTGTTATGTGTAAGTAAGTGGATTATGAGCCATTCCAGAGAGGAGCCGTTCTTCTGGTGTGTGAACCAGATGATTAAATTCTGACTTTGCCTCATGTCTTCCAAATAATCATAACTGAAAACTTCGGTTTCTGTTTATAACCCATATCTTCTAATAAACTCTAGAAGGCATATATTTAATTAAATATGTATTTTATTCAGGGAAAGTTTCTCTCCAGTAACTTCTTCAGGGCAACTTTGACATCTTTATTCCTCAGACTGTAGATCAGAGGGTTGAGCATGGGCACAGCAATGGTATAAAGCACAGATGATACTTTCCCTCGGTCCATGGAACTGACTGAGGATGACTGAAGGTACATGAATGCTAAAGATCCATAGAAGACAGCAACAGCTGTTATGTGTGAGCTGCAGGTGCTGAAAGCTTTGGACCTGCCCTCCGTGGAACGAATGTGGAGGATGCTAGCAATGATGAGAATGTAAGAGCTAAGGATGGTCAGAGATGGAACAATGATGTTAAATGCACTGAAGCTCAGAGCTAGTGTTTTATTGATAAAAGTATTAGAGCAGGAAAGCTCCAGTAATGGAAAAATATCACAGAAGTAATGGTTTATTATATTACCTTTACAAAAAATCACTCTTAGCAAGAAGACTGTGTGAATTGTGGCAATAATTAGACCTGTAACATATACCCAACCTACCATCCAGGAACAGATTTGATAGGACATTGCAACATTGTACATCAATGGGTTACAGATGGCAACATAGCGGTCATAAGCCATTGCAGCCAACATGTGACACTCTGCAACTGCAAAAGTACAGAAGAAGTAGAACTGAGCTATGCATTCTGGGTAGGAGATGACATTCTTTTCTGTCATTAGGTCCACCAGCATTTTAGGGGTAATGACAGTAGACTGACAGAAGTCAATGAAGGACAAACTGCTGAGAAAATAGTACATGGGTTTGTGGAGTGGAGGACTAAACAGAATCAACATGATCATGCCCAGGTTTCCCACTGCTGTAAACACATAGATTCCTAGGAAGATGAGGAACAGGGGCAGCTGCAGCTCTGTTTTCTCTGTTAGTCCAATGAGGATGAACTCAGCCACCATGGAATGATTCCTCTGTGCCATTTCTACATGGAATTCAATGTAAGAAGAAAATTCTATGCAGAGAATTTTTTTGTATTATTGTTGTAATTCTCAATGAAGTGTGGAAATGAAATCAAGTATGTTCAGATACTTCCAGTTCTGTGTTATCTTCTTTTATATCTTATCAGTTGAATTCTTTACAATCCTAGAAAGATGTGGCATGCAAATAAACCAGTTAGTAGTTCCCCTAGTTTTGCTGTTCACTATAAGTGTATATATTACAAATACCCATCAGTTTACACCGCATACCATTCTGACAACTTAGATTGTGTGTTCCAAGAATGACTGAAGTTTGATTTATAGTGCTCTCTGTATTGTAATAAAAAATTTTTGTGATAAAGTATTAGCAGTATCTACAAGGGAACTATATTCAACACCACAGTTAATTGTAAAGAAATGAAATATGTCCCCTTAAGATAATGTCAAAAAGAGTTGTCTATCTTTTCCCTTTAATTTTTCATTATTTATGACTTAAGTAAGAAGATCAGGAAGTAAAAATAATTTTAAAGGAATTTATGTTAGGAAGGATGAAGGAACGTCAAACCTACTTGTAAACAAATATAATTGAGTGTATAGATAAGCCAGAATCTGTTCAAATGTACTCCTTCAGGTACATAACAAAATATTAGGTAGTATAATGCAATATTTACATTAAAATTAAGTGGAGTTTTTACACAGTTGCATAACAATAAAAGATTTGTTTATGATGACAGAGAAAGAACAAGTTTCTTAAGAATGAAATAAAAGTGTTTGTTTTGGTATATGGAAAGGGAACTGATTTTTGCATGTAAATTTTTATTTTGCTATTTTGCTGAATGTGTTTATCAGCTTTAAGTGTTTTGTGGGATCCTGACAACATTATCAGGGTAAGAATCTATGGTTAGACAAATCACAGGCCATATAGAAAAATCCATTACTATCAATATGCTAAATAAAAATAGTAATAAAGTGACTCATAGTGACTTTTTGTAACCATTGATTAGTACACCTCTCAACTTTCATCAAAGGAGCTTCTTGCAGTAGATAGCAAATAACATAGAGACTCACAGTTAGTCAATGTACAGAATAAGAGGCTGCAGAGTGCTCAACCCTAAATGGGACACCTATATGATACTTTCTCACCCCAAAGTTTAGGCATCATGGTGGAAGAGGGCCTCAAAGATTGTAAGATCCAGAGGTGGTAAATGAACACAAGGAAGCTGTGCTGTCTGCACACCATATGGTAGTTGCACATATTAACACACAACACTTATGGCAGCATATAAAAAATCTAATCTGTACAAGTAGAAGCCAGACAGGGACTAAGCATGGACTGGGGAGTTGGACAAGAATCCCATCTTAGCTGACAGTCTTTTAGCAATTGATAGCTGTTGTGAAACAGAGAGTCAGTTTCCTTTAAGGGTGTGATGTTTCCTTAAGCCTGACAAGATGACCAAACTCCAGGATAAGGAGCCATAACCAAGAATACTTAGGAGGTACAGATTGGAATCAATAGGCCTTAAAAAATATAATATAAATAAATATAAATATAAAAAATTTAAAAAGGGAAGGACAGATAATAATGGAAGACACGAAATGAGAGGGTAGTAGTGAGGAGGTATAGATGAGAAGGGGGCTTGAATGTGATCAAAAAAATGTATGAAATTTTGGAATGAAAATTTTTTAGTTTAGAAAAATAAAAATGCATAAAATGCTTATAAAATTACAAAGTGTTATTGATGGAACTTCAGATGTACATTAATAGATAGAGATCCTATGTTCATAAAACAAAATAATTATGAAAGGACAGCATTTCCAAAGTTGAACAGTAGATTCATTATGTTTCCACCGAAATCAGAAAAAGACTTGATACTTGTAAATAATGACAAGATTTTCTTGAAAGTAAGACTGGGATAGAATAGTAAAGGTAGACGCCTGGTATTCAACCATGTTAAGCATTCTGTCATAGCAATCAAGACCAAGTATATCTGCTGCTAGATTGAGTCATCTAGACATGACAGAAATGATATACACACGAAATCTCTACAAGATGGTTGCCTAAAAATGACACACACAATGACAGCATCAGTTGACATGCCATTGTGGAAGGAAGAAACTTTAGAGTATCTTACCTCTAGATGAAGAATTACAAGTAATCAAGTAACACTGAGGGAAGGAGAATCAGTTTCCCTCTGATCCCAAGTGGTCAGCCATAAGCATATGCAAGCACAAGTAACACTAAATGGACTCAGTGAGGGGAATGTGGGAGAAATTAGGGTGGGGAGGAGGAAATGATGTAAATAGGGTAATCATGTATGAAATTTTCAAAAATAAGTTAATATACTCAAAAACACCATGTAGTTATCTACCTATTTCTCTCTCTCTCTCTCTCTCTCTCTCTCTCTCTCTC